ATACTTTGCGTTGTTTTCAGCAATAATGATTTCAGATCAACTTCGGCTGAATATTCAGTCGATTTAATCGTTGGCAGCAAAGTTTGTTTTTTTGTTTGCAATGCGTTTAAGCTCGGTATACAATCTTTATGTAACCGGTTTATTTTTGCACGTAAACTATTATATTTACGATCTGATGAGTTCAGATCTATGTATAGTGCGATTGAATCAGATATGGGCAAACCTTCGGTACTACTTTCAGAACATTCAACTTTGCTTGCTTTTTTCATTTTTTTCAGAGCATACTCGAGCTCTTCGATGGAATAGTTTTTCAACAAATGCTCTACCCTTCGATTTTTTGTTCTCCGTGAAGCTTCGCAAAATTCTTCTTTAGAAGGTCTTCCCCGTTCAGCACATTTATCCTTATTTCCATTGGAATCCGGAAGGGAAGGGAATGTCCAATTTAGCCATTTAGAATATGTTTTTTCAAAAGCGCTTCTTTTGCGGCCACTATAATTCCACTTATTTTTCATCTCACTATTAAAAAGTTTTATTTTTTGATTCAAAAGTGCTTTGTCGCATTTAGCGTGTATTAATTTGTCTTCAAAAAATGCAGATAATGCAGACACTCTATCTGATGGACGAGTAGAAATCCAGATATCAGCTAAAATTGAGTTTTTTATAATTGAATTCATATTAATATTAGTTTTTTCAGTATTTTACGCTTCACTACACAGCACAGAACACTACCGAGTGTGTCTACAGTAATAAACTTTACTATTTTTAAAGAATGTTTTGGCATTTAAGTAATGGAAAATACTGTGGTAACTGTAATCAGTGAAATTTTTTTTTTGCAAAAGTTTATTTTATAACCTTAAAAAAAACGATTTTCTTCGAAAAGCGCAATGAGTCTGCAGACTTTTTTTTTNATTTCAAAGAAAAATGCCCCTTATTTCAAATAAAAGAATAAAAAAAAACATACTTTTACATATTTTTTTTTTATCCCTTTGTAAACTTAGGAATTTTTTAAATTTTCTGCAACAAATTTTAGGGTGTAGCAAATAGGCCATTCCAGCCAGGAAACTCAATATTTTTTAAAAAGCTCTATAGAGTGGTTTCCTTACAGATTTTCTAATTAGAAAAATTGTGTCTTAAGATAAAGTATGATAAATTGTATTTTTAGCAATTTTTTTTTTAAAGACTCCAGCTAAAGGCATTTTCATAAAAGAAAAAATATATAAAAAACACACAACTTTAAGAGGTTTTTGTGAGAACCTTATGAGATAAAAACAAAAACTAAGTCCAGATCCTTAATCTAGGATAAATTTCCTTTCCAACGATACCAAACACGTTGACATACGTGACAACAATTTTTTTGATTTTTGCCCGCTCATACAGCACTGTGCGTCTGTCGATTTTAGAACTGGTTCGGAACTATAGAATTTAGGACTAGCTCGGAACTATCGAAAAAGGGATGCAGCGGGGGGCAATTGACACATCCTAGGACATCGCCATGTTGAATTCGCCAGTTGCTTGCATGCAAAAGAGATTTATCGCGAACCAGTACTGGCTCTAAATGTACTAGAAGCGCACCAGTCCAGAACTACAGATTTTCCCCACAGGGTACATACAGACATACATACATACATGCATACATACATACATACATACTTCCACAAATATGTAGTACATTTGTGTTTAAAATTTACTATCGCGCGGTTTTAATGTATAATGAGATAGACATTTATATTATTTATTACATAAAAAAAGAAATATAGTCAATATTGGTCAAGAAAAGGAGTTTCTATTATTGCCATCAGCGCAAAAACAA